GCTGCAGGGCACCGAGATCCCAGGAAGGGGCCCAGCGGCAGCAGCCCTCCCCGCGCCGCGCGCCCCCGCGCCGTCCCGCGCGCCCCCGCGCCCTCGCGCCCGCCGGGGCAGACACCTACGCAGATGCGAAAGTGAAAGGCGGGCTCCCCGGCAGGACGGCGCGGCGCGCGGGCACGCGGAGGGGGGCGGAGGATGGAGCCACCCGCAGGGATCCCGGGAGTCTCTGGTCCCCTGTGCCCTGCAGAGCTGACCTCGGCCTCCTCTCTGCAGCCCTCCCGAAGTCCCAAGTCCCCAACCCCAAGGCACACTGATCACCCTCGTTTGGAGAAGTGCTCGCGCGTGTTCACGCGCACTCGTGGGTGTGAGAGATAACCTCTGCTTCAGACTCCTCTACCGCACCGTTATACATGCCCTTAGGTGGAGACTCCGGGGCAGGGAAAGCATGAGCATCTCAAGCAATAAAGGCTCACCTGCTTGTTCTCCAGGACAGAGTTAAACACAGGAACTGACCACACGTCCCTCTTTTCTGGGTTGGCACTTCTTTCACAGTTTTCTAATGGCTCTATTGCTCCTCCCCACTTTCCCATTTTCTTCCTAAATAGCTGTGAAAGTTGCTGATCCCTTCCCACACAGAACCCTGTTAAACAAGGAACTAGCCTGTTAAAACAACCATGCCTTTCTTTAATCACTCCCACCATTCAGGGTCCAACCTCCAGTTGCCTCCACTACCCACACAGTGTTGCACACTCCGGTTTTAGGTGGCTCAAGGTGGCATTTTGGCTTGTAGCAAAACAAACATTTGCCTGTCTCTTATTTGCAAAAGTGGCCTCTAGGTTAACTTTTGTGAAGGTATGTCTTACCTGAGATCAAGAACATATTTAAATAAATTCATATTAAAAATTAACAATATGTTCAGGAAACTTTGAACAGAATTATTTAGGGGTATTTATGTTCCCAAACTGACTTTGGAAATGCATCAAAAGTAAGATATATTTACACTGATAAATTGGTAAAATGGACAGAACGACAGATAGATATTCGGTAAAGTATTTACACAGTACAATATTAACAATCTAAGTGCTGTTATACAGTGTTGTCTTCAACTTTTGTGTATGCTTGAAACTTTTCATTGTAATACATTAGGTGAAGAGAAATCACCATTTAAGATAACATAATGTAAATTCTATGAACAAGATTGATAAATTAGGCTTGGATGATTACATCCCCATTTAGAAAATAATTTAACACAAGAATTTTTTCCTACACTTGCTCACTGTTATTCTAAACAATAATTTCAAATGCAGACATTATGATCAAACTATGGTTTAAAGTGAAATTTTAACTGCATCAGTGTGGAAATTTAGAAGATTTCTACCTGTTTTTACTTGGCCATTTGCAATTTTTTAATCCTTCCTGCATTTAAAATTGTTTGGTATTAAAAATCTATGATTTTTGGTATGTTCTTTTGAAATTTTTTTCACACCAAAATAGTGGGGGTTGTGGGGGCTCCAAATGTCCATCTATGTCAGTTTCTCCTGTCCCTGGGGAGAGATGTTAGGGACTCTTACAATTATTAATAGGCAAAGTTTTAGTTTGGGGGGGGGTTTAAAATCTGAATATTAAGTTTCCCTTGGGTCTACATCTGTCTTTTTTATTTTGTTCTGCTGGCCTGCTGACATAGAACAGCTCTGGAGATCAGTTTGGCACCTTCTTGTAAAGGGAAAGTCCCACTGCTTTTGCTAGATCACCACACAAATATTGCTTCTGAGACACCGCCCCCCCCGGGGGGTGCACAAGAGGAGGCAGGGCTTTAGGCTGTCCTGAGCATTTTCATTTACATGCTTATCAAGAGTCTTGTCAACTTCTGTGTGTCTAACAATGTCTTTACTTGCTTTTTCAAGCTGTCTCTTAACCAACTTTGTTCTCGCCAATCTTTTAGATAAGCATATTTGTTCTTTGTAAAAAGATAGAAATTTCTTTTGAGAAGATATTAAAAATTAAGAAAGGACAAGCACAGAAAAGGATCATCACTTCATCTCCTATACTGCTGCCAAATAGCTGAAAGCAGCATCAGTCATCTCCCTTTTGACAATTGTTAACCAGTCACTGAACCTGGGGACACCTCCCTCCCTTATCCCATTAGTGTCAAACTCCTGAGGTCTGCCACAGTGAAGTGCACGACTCAGACTCAGCCTTTGCAATTTACATGTGTGACATCACATCCTCTGTTATGTAACTTCAGAAACAAAGCCTAATGTCGTCTAAGTTTGTGTTGGAAAAAATCCTCTGTAGCTCTGTTTCATCCTGAGCAGAGGCACCCCTTAGTTCCCATTCCTAGTCCCATTTCTACAGCGACTGACAATGACTGGACAGTTGGAAGGCATGGAATTTTATGAGCTGGAAAATCATGAGTTCCCCCCTATCCCAAATTCAGCATATCTTTCTTCTCTTTTATATCTTTATTTACTGGCAAGAAAAGCAATGCCATGTAATTCAATTACATTAAACAAAAATTTAAAGTAAAAGGCTAAAGCATTTAGCATAGTTAACTTCATTAATAAGCCTAGCCATGCTAGGCATTTTTTTTTTTCATTCCTTCTAAAAAGCTTTTTCCCTGTCTCTTAACCAGCTGTTGGAAAGAGCTGAGAAAGACAGGGAGAGTCAGAGAGAGAAAGGAGGGGTGTCAGAGAGAATGAATAGGCAGATAATATTAAGATAGAGCTGCTTTGTTTACTGCAAAACACACATGTTGCAGTTTATAAACACTGCAAGCAAATAAGAAATTGTGGACTAGAAGATAAATACAAAACATATCAGGGTTTTTTGCTGGTATCAAAAATGACCCAAACTCAGTTTTCTACACTATTTCGAATATGTGTATCAGCTTTAATTATTCATTAATTTGAATAATTAATTTGGATTTGTTTACCTATTGATTCATCTGTCTACCTTAATTCTGTATTCAGTCAGTTTAAATAGAAAATTCACAAACAATACATTTCTGTGGCCAGATTTTGAGACAGAAGAGCACCAAACAGCACATGCATCACAATTAGTATGCCATATTATTAGAAGCAAATCAGATCTCACTGTGCCTACACTTATGTTCTAAATTTAGAAATAATGTACAGTAGTTGAAAGGGGGGGAGGAACTTAGAACAGTATATTTTAATAAAAATAAAGACATTTTACATTTCTCCTCTTTTTTGCATATACTCCTGGTGTAGTGGAGGAAATTCATCACCTTTAAATAACTGTGCTAATCTTACATAAATAACTGCGTGGTTTGTGTGCTCATTAGGAAACCAGGCCGTTTTTCTGGTATAATATTCAGTAACAACCACAGAGAAATACACACACACACACACACACACACACACACACACACACACCCACACGCATGAAATGAAACAATCCATTGGGTCAAGTGGGAAACAAGTTTCTGTTGAACTGGGTGAAAAACTCATTAGAATTTCTCATTAGGACTTCACAGGAGCAGTTCGCTTTTCAATAGTTGGTGCTGTATTTTTAGCAGCATTTTAACAGCTGTCAGTAACAACTAAGACAACATTTTGATCAGCACTATTTTTTTTCTAGCAAAGATGATTGAATAAAAAAGCTTCAAGATTAAATGTTTAGCTATTAAAAAGAAACAATTTCCTGTGACACAAAATTTTACAAAGACAGGCCATAAGATAACCACATAAGACAAGGCCTCATGGATTTTTTTTGCTGTTGTTTTTACATTTTCTGGTGACTGTATATACATAAGGATGAGTTTATTCTTAAAGATGTGGCCAATGTCAGAAAGAAAAGCATCACAGTAAGAGTGTGCATGGTGTCATCTCATTTATTTGCAAATGGGAAGAGATTAGCTGTGTGGGCAGCACAAGTGTAATGGAACCTTTCCCCTAACATTAGAGTTCATAGAGGGAAGTTATCGCATGTCAGATATGTGACACAGGAAACAGCAGACAGAAAAATGTAAGCGGCTTAATGACAGATGTCATGGCTATTCCCAAAGATAGAGGTAACTTTGCACTGGGGAATGTATTACAAAGCAAACTTAAACACAATATTCCCATGGGTCAAATTGCTCTTCCACCTATAGTCTCCCCACATCTGCCTCAAGAGACATAGAGGTGATGGTATTTTTATTAAAGAGGACTTCTTAGTCATCTTACACAAAGGTCATGTGCTCATTTCAAGGGCCTAATCCAACTTTTGAATTTGCCAAGGAAGGCAGCTGAGTATTTCCAGCTTCATGTAGCTGGCAGAGTGGAAAATTTATGCATTCTTATATCAAATGATATTTTTATTACATCGCATTTGTGTTCTCTAATCCTGCTGGGGTTACCAATCTATTATCTCTTTTGATAAGGAACAATTTAAATTGTATGGGAAGACCTGTTTTTTTATAAAGACATATTATTTTTTAAAAACAAAAACTAAGGTTAAATAAACTTCCTATTTTTCCAACACAAACTCATTGTAAGGTCCAAATCTTTAGTTGTTATTTATTTTTTGCAGAGTAATATATGGTTTTATTAGTGTGAACATTTTTGATACCACATATCCATGTGTAAAAATGAAGTATCTATAAATACCTACTATTTGAAGGATATATATTATATGCCATATTAATTTTAATATTTAAATTACAATATATTTAAATACTTATTGCTAATTATAGCTAGGTCTTACAAAATAAGTAGACATGCTTTTTTTAAAACATAGTACTTAAAAAAAAATCTACATCTATTTCAAATAATTTCTTTCTGTTTTGAGAGTGTCATAGCTCTGATCTCATTATCCTTGAGGTAGATTTTAATTGATGCTTCCTTTTCAGTTTTCATTCTGTCAGAAGGGAAGATTAGATTACTTAAATGCAATTGCGGTTTGATAAAACCCTAGTAGCCTTTACTAGTTTTTTTTTTTTCTTAATTTAGTAAGACATTGTATTGTGGTGAAATACACATCATAAAGGTTACCATCTTATCCTTTTGTGAACATACAGATCAGTGGCATTAAGTAGGTGCATGTTGATGGGCAGCCATCACCACTATCCAGCAGTGGAATTTGTTCATCCTTATAACACTGCACATTGCTAGTTTTTAACCAATTACCCAATTATTATGTGAGAGGATTTCCATTATTTTTCTTGGGGGTCCAAACTTCCTATTTACTTCTGAAATACTCTTATCCCCCTGTTGAGAAATTATTATAGGACTTTATTACTTTAAGAAGTTAAATAATGAAATTCAATCAAGATAGATGAAACTTTTATGATTATAGAAGCAGGCCTGGTGAATGATCAAGAAAATTCAACAGAAATAAAATAAAACTATATTTCTAGTGTTGCATAAAAATTCATTTACCTGGAGTCAGCAAATAAAAAGGAAAGAATGAATTACATGCCTGTGGGGAAACTTGGTGTGTTACTTGGGTTATATCCTCCACAGATTGTGAGAACAGCTCAAAAAAAATGGAAGCATCATGGACAGCATTTGAAAGGAAGATTACATTTAAAAAAAAATCAGAAATCAGCTCAATGGTGAGCATCCAAGTTAGGATCCAGGACCCATTTCATGTGGCTCACAAATACCTGTAACTCCAGCTCCCAGGAATCCAATGCCCTCTTCTGGCCTCTTTAGGCACCTGCACACACTTGTGGTATATACTCACAAAAACACATGTACACACATAAATAAAATCTTTAGAAATATATTTAATTATAAATATTAAGCACAATGTATTTTATATCTTTAGAAATACTTTGTAAAATATCCTAATCATACAAAAAATCCATTAGTTTTAATACAGTCACTGTTTTCCTATTAGCAGGAGTGAACATTTGGTCATAATTACTCCAATTGCTGCCAGAGTAGGAAAGTGTTCATGGGAGCAATACATTGCTTCTTCATGGGAGAGAATAATATTAAAGAGAGAGGCAGAGCTATAGGAGAGAGAGCTTTCATCACCTGGGAGTTTGAGCTGCTTGTTACAAGTCCTGGGAATTGCCATCATTCTTTGCTCCAGGTCTTGAGTAGAAGAAATCAATTTTTAATACATTAGTCCTTCGGTATCAAAGCAGAGGCTGGGTTCCAGAATCCTTTTTGGGTACAAAAATCTTTGGATGTTCAAGACCCTTAAATAAAATGGACAGCATTTACAGAGTGAGTGGGTGGAGCTTCTCCCTTATATTGTATGGACCACTGTTTTTATTTGCATAATGGATGCTCAGCCACCAGCATGGCCATGACTTTCTATTAAAAAACAAAACCTGCACTAGGCAATTTTGCTTACAACACATTAGGTAGAGCAATCATAAAAGGTCAAATGGCTGGGTGTGGTGGCTCATGGCTTTAATCCCATCACCCAGAATGCA